AAAAAGTAACCAAAGTAACAGATGTGAACCAACTAGTTGCATTTGTCATGAGACATTTAACTTACCTATTGAAATGAAATTGTATGAGGGACTAAATTTAACTAACCACAAAAACTTACTGAGATTTGACTCATGCTTTATATATTAGTTCAATTAAAGATTTATTTCAACTTTTGATTCTACAACTATCAGATTTAGAGCCCGTTTGGTAGCACTAAATTCAGCTGATTCGGCTGATTCTACTGAAGTTTAAGAAATTCTGGCTAAAGTGGTTGCATTGGCTGATTCTGTTGATTTAAGAAAAAAAAATTTAAAACATATTTTATTAATAAAATAAAGAAAAAATTATATGTAAAAATAGCTAAAATGGTCATCTACAGTAACTTCAGCCAATACAGTCAGAAAAGTAACTTCAACCTTACTTTTTCTGCTTATTAAACAATTCAGCGCGCGAAAGCAAATGTTACGTGTTTGGTGAAAAAGTTGGTTGATAAGCCTGATAAGCCGAAAAACTGTGTTGCCAAAACTGTGTTACCATTTATCAGGCTTATCAGTCAACTTTTTCACCAAACACGTAAGTTGCTTTCACGTAAGTAGGTTTATCAGGCTGAATTGTGTAATAAGCAGAAAAAGTAAGGTTGGAGTTACTTTTCTGGCTGTATTGGCTGAAGTTACTGTAGATGATCATTTTAGCTATTTTTACATATAATTTTTTCTTTATTTTATTAATAAAATATACTTTAAATTTATTTTTTTCTTAAATCAGCAGAATCAGCCAATGCAGCTACTTCTGCTAGAACTTCATAAATTTCATCAGAATCAGCTAAATCAGTCGATTTTGGTGCCACCAAACAGGCTATAAGTTTAAGTACTCAATTTTTATTTTACACTTATAAGTCTTATAACTCAGACCTTAATTAGATTTGTCTCTTTTGATCTTGAAATGGGTAAAGACCCTCATTATACATTTTTGTACACTACCCTAAAACGTCAACTATATTATCCGCGTTAATCAATTGCTAGAAGACATTTTGTGATAACTGATAGAGTATATATCCATTGTGATGCTGACCTCAACAACAAATTCGAGGGCCACCAATAATAAAGTAACAAATCATTTTACGTCATTATTATAGATTTATAGTCATCATTTTATCATCGGTCTAGTATTTTTGTGTAGTCGATTAAATTCTTCTGTTAATCAAACTTTGTTATATTTAAACTAATGTGAATTAATAAGTACTACCAAAACTAAATATAGATTACTACGACATAATTAGTTAAGACTTTAACCAAGTTATATAATGTCATTTTAATATATGTTACGGCATTCAAATGCCAAATCAATCTAAAAGCTCAAGACTGATCAAATCAAATACTCCGTATTATACTTTAGATCAAGCTATATTTAAGATTCACAAACTTAATTGTACCATACGACCTATTTAACTATCTTTTCATCACTATGTTTATACGCAGCACAAATAAATTATATTCATAGAATTTTGTGATTCAATAGAATATTGAATGGAGCTTCTAAATATGTAAAAAGATATTAATATGAACTTAAACATTACAAGGACATAGTTAACTTTGTCCAAAGTTTACTAAAGTAAATTGAACACAGAGCATTAAGAGGTCGTTTGGTAACATTGAAATTTGCTGAATTGGCTGATTCTGCTGAAATTTATGAAGTTCTGACTGAAGTGGCTGGATTGACTGATTCTGCTGATTTATGAAAAAAATTATATTTAAAATATATTTTATTAATAAAATAAAGAAAAAGTTATATGAAAAATATCTGAAATCATCCTCTACGGTAACTTCAGCCAATACAGCCAGAAAAGTAACTTCAACTTTAATTTTTCTTATTATTACACAATTCAGCATGCGAAATCAAAAATTACGTGTTTGGTGAAAAATTTGACTGATAAGTCTGATAAACCGAAAAACAAGCTTACCAAGCGGGCTCTAAATTAGTACGAATGCAAACAACATGCTCCGTATAAACTATGATAAGAGAGAGACCAAAAGAAAGCAATTGATTAATACATGTGCTTAGAGCCGGTTTTGTAGTTTCTTTTTCGGCTTATTAACATTAGTAACCAATTTTTATATAAAAACTAAAATTTTAATTTTATACGTTCAATTATGTATTACTCCCTGTGTCTAAAAATGATTTGCAAAGTCAATATTTTTTTCTCAGCCGATGTTAAAGTCAAATCTTCTTTATTCATAATTAATTCAAATTTTAACAATTAAAATTTACATATTCAAAAACTACATTAAAATCTCTTCATAATTGCAAAATCCAAATCAAATAATCCGTATAATTAAAGATTGCATACAAATTAAGAGCCTGTTTGGTGACCCCTTTTTCGGCTTATCAGGCTTATCAGCCATCTTTTTCACCAAACACGTAACTTTTGATTTCACGCACTGAATTTTGTAATAAGCAGAAAAAGTAATGTTGGAGTTACTTTTCTGGTTGTATTGGCTGAAGTTACTACAGAGGATCATTTTAGCTATTTTTTATATAATTTTTTATTTAATTTCTTAATAACCAATATTTTAAATATGATTTTTTCATTAATCAGCAAAATCAACCAATACAATCATTCAGCCAGAATTTCATAAATTTCAACAGGATCGACCAATGAAACCAATTTTAGTGTTAGCAAAAAAAGTTGTAAATTAAAATTGACCCAGAGTCACAACAACCTCATTAAACCCTTACATTTAAAGGGTGCAGCGATTATGGAGCGGAGTAAATGCAAAGGAATAATGTTGGCGGTTTTTGCAGGCAGTGGTGGACAGCCTAGGAAAGAACAATGTGCTGACAATATTGGACAATCACATTAGCAAGCCTGGTTGGTGTTGCAGCAACTTCGACGGCAATACTTTCTTCGGCGACACGTACTTTGACCCTAAGCTATGGCTCACCGGCCTTGCCAACGTGGCCGCCATGTTCAGTGCCACGTCTAGTGTCGTTGGGATGAGCTTACGGAATGAACTTCGAGGGCCCAAACAGAATGTCAATGATTGGTACAGGTACGTAAGATGCGCACACTATTTGGTAATCCTATCTTTATCTTTCGCTTTTGGTACCAATTTTTTGACTAAACATGTACCCCTCATTTTCAATAAATTGTTTCTAGTTTGACTTACTTGCAAATAAAGAAAGTGAGAACAAAGTAAAAATGTATTGTGTAAGAAAAATGTAAATAAAGTGATCCACACAATTTTTCAAAAAAAGTAAGTTGGAAGTTGAAATTTTATGAAACGGTCCAGAAAAGAAAGTAAGAAGAATTTAATGGGACGGAGGGAGTAATTTTTTATTTCGCGTTCTGAAGTAAAATGTTGAAATTACTTTTGTGGATATATTGACTGAAGTTACTATAGAGATTATTTTAGTTATTTCATGTGAATTTTTCTTTATTTTATATAAAAATACTAGTATATATATAGTATTTTTCATAAATTAGCAGAATCAGTCAATACAACCACCTCAACCAGAACTTCATTAATTTCAACAGAATCAACCACTTCAGTTAATTTCAGTGTTACCAAACTTCATAAATTTCAACAGAATCAACCACTTCAGCTAATTTCAATGTTACCAAACATGTTCTTAATCCCAATCCAATTTTGTTTCAAAATTTGATTCCGCACGAAATTTATAATCTTTTAATAATGATGAAATTGACTAAATTGGTTAGAATTATTGATTGTATTGGTTGTATCTCCTAAATTATTACGTAGTGTATATTTAAAATGTATATTATCAATTAAATACAAGAAAATTATATCAAAAAAATTGTCTACACCAGCAAACAATTTGTTCAGCTTGTAGATTTAAATTAAGTGCTTACAAACCTAAAATAGAGCCTAGAAGGATTTATTTATAAAATCGAAAAATTAAAAATGTGTAGATGAATTTATTTAGAAAAGAGAAATAATCCAAGTAGGGTTGTAGGGATGACCGGATGAGCTTATAAGATGAACTTCGAGGATCCAAATAGAATATTAATGATCAGCAAAGGTTAAGGTATAGGTAATAAAACAAATGCCAACATGATCGCTATGTGTTACTACCTCTGTCGCTCTAAGATTGGGACGAGAGAAGGTGGCACGATTATTAAGAAAAGTGGATTTGTGTGATTGATATTAAATTGATAAAGTAAGAATAAAGTAAAAATGTTTAGAACTACACAATCTTTACCAAATTTAGTATGTGACAATCTTAGTGAAACTTCCCAAAAAGGTAAAATGAGTCAATCTTAGCGGGACAGGGAATAGTACTGGGTACACAGAACTGTTTCCATAAAAGATGAGGGGTATTCTCTAATCACTATATTTATTACAGATATACAGGGTAAAGTAGAGCAAAGATATTACAATATTTCCTAGGTAGCACTATACCCACCACCACCACCCCACCCCACCCCCAGCTTGTATTGGGTTTAAGAAAACACAGAGCCTGGATCAGAGAAACGCACAGACAGACGAGGAAGACTCGCGTACACGATTGTCTGTGAAGTCTGAACCACCATTAGATTGAAAACCATTTATAGATGTTCAGAAGTGATTGCAAACAAAAATGTGAAAACGTTCAAATATACCAAAAGAAACTAACTTGGCTCGCATAGGATATAGCCAAGAAGATCTAGAGTAATCATCCATAAAGATAGCATAATAGCTACTCCGTATAACAAAGATAACCACTGCTTTCCCATATATAGAAAGTGTTTGTATTCCTAACATGTTACTCCGTATTAGTTTGTTTGTAGCTAAATAACATCATTCATTAACTAAATGAATAATATTACTACGTATTAGTGTTAGCAGGGAAGTAAGAAAACATCCAAGGTTCATATTAGGCCAATGTTTGTATAGATTATCCGTATAAATTTGTAGTTATACATATACACACAGTGACTTAGTGGCTTCTCCCATAATGTACTCATCCATAATAAATGAATTAATCTTCAACAATTGATCAGGTATATGCAGCAAGGAGCTGAAACAGTGCATGCAGCAAACCCTAATGTTCTAGTTATCCTTTCCGGGCTAAGCTTTGATAAGGATCTATCTTTCCTCAAGAGTAGGCCAGTGAACTTGACGTTCTCTGGCAAGTTGGTTTTTGAGGTTCATAGGTATAGCTTCACTGATGGGCAGGAGTGGGCATCGGGCAACTCAAACAGAGCATGCGGGCGAATAAGTAATGACATAATGAGCAGAGGAGGTTTTTTATTGGATAAAGGGTACCCATTGTTTGTGAGCGAGTTTGGGATTGATCAAAGGGGTATTAATGTAAATGATAATAGGTATATCAGCTGCTTCTTGGGTTTGGCAGCTGAGTTGGACCTTGACTGGGCACTATGGACACTGGCAGGAAGTTATTACATTAGGGAAGGAACTGTTGGACTTGAAGAGTTTTATGGGGTTCTTACTTGGAATTGGAGTCAGCCAAGGAACACCACCTTCCTTCAGACCATTTCTGCCCTTCAGTCTCCATTTCAAGGTACTCTGTCATCCGACCCATCAAATTCCGAGCTAATTTGTAACTAAACGCACAATTAAGCAAAAGACAGATTAGAGTTTTTTTTTTAGTTTTTTTCCCAAAGTGACAGTCATTTGAATGAGGGAGTATAAGTTAAATGTGACATACATGCAGGACCAGGTTATGAAGAGTATTGTCCACATAAACTAATTCTAAATGTGACATACATGCAGGACCAGGTTATGAAGAGTGTTGTCCACATAAACTAATTTTCCATCCAATGACTGGGCTATGTATTAGAAGAGTTTCACTCCTCCAACCACTTGAGTTAGGTCCATGCTCTGAGTCAACAGCATGGAATTACTCTACATCTCCCGCTAATACATTAACAGATGAAGAATCTAACAATTGCTTAGAGGCAGAAGGTCTTGGAAAACCAGCAAAACTTGGTACTACATGTTCGGGTAATAGCTCAAGATGGCAACTCATCTCAGATTCCCAAATGCACGTGTCTTCCAAACTGGAGGATGGGAGTAGTGTTTGCCTCGACATAGATTCTAACAATGTTATCATCACCAACAGCTGCAAATGCTTGATCAATGCCAGTTCCTGTGATCCTACCAGCCAGTGGTTCAAAATAATCAACAGCACAAGAGCAATTACATCAACTGATAAAGTTGTGCAGCCAACCAACTCACTTGCATATTTTCTAGAAAAGTTAAAAGATATTGCAAGCTACATTTGGTAATGAGTACAGTTTATATAGATGATATAGTTCTTAACATATACTCCTTATAAAAACTCAAATAAGTTTTTTGTTATGTTTTAAGAAAATGTCAATGTCGAATTTCTTTTATATATACTGAGATAGATTTGTTACATTTCTCATAAGCCGCATGTACTCATTTGATGACTAAATAATACGAAGTACTCCGTAAGGAATAACATCTCTAAATTAAACTTAACTTCCATAAAGCTCACAAATATAAGATGATGACATTACTCCCACACCACCATCATACATGATGGTGTTTTTGTGTCGAGTCCACATCATCAAGGGTCTAGACCATTAATTAGTTCTGTGACAGATATCAAAGTTCATGACTGAATTGGGAATAGTTAAAAGTTCAGTCTAGGTCTAAACTAAAGATTCTTGTAAAATGTTCAGCCCAAATATATATAACAATAAGATTTTCTTCAAATATATTTTAGATCATTTTGTTTCTACACTATATGTAGATTCATGTTAGCCGACTCGAAACTCTTTTGGGACTAAGGCTTGGATGTTGTCATTTGTTATTGTTTGTTTCTTCACCACATCCTCTTCCATTAAGGGCACATTTTACCATTCCAGAAAGAGTCTTAGTCTGGCAATTAACTATCTCAATTATCCCTCAACTGTGACATATGCAAAAGTTCATAATTTGCTCAACCAGAGATAGGGATGGTCAATATCCATAGAGAAAATTGTTTATTTTCGAGATGCCAATAAATTACTGAATCATCTTACATATGTGCACTCAATTGATCCTCATTACCCTATATGCATACATACTTAGTGTTGTTGAGGTTAAAAAAATCTAAGTCGCTTCGGCTGTGTCTTCCCAAAAACTGTTTTATACCCAAATGTACTGTTATATTGCTATGCTACAATACGATAACGACATGTCACCATCAAACTACAAAAAATCAAATGACAGGATCTGCGAACCTTCTGAAGGTTCGAAACTTGATGGTTTGGGAATAGAAGTATAGGAGAAGGCAAATGGGGAAACTACGTATCTAAATGAAGATGTTTTTGGTTAATGAGAATGCAAGTGATATTGGAATAATTTGTTTAAGCGGATCACACATGGCATTCAATTATGCATGGACGATGTGATTGGATCGTCCAGTCATTAAATATACTTGTACACAATTCAGTCCATTCAGCATATTTAGTCGTATAGACGGAAGGAACTCGACCATTTATATCAAACTTTCAACCTTACCAAACCAAATAGGCTCTTTAGTCTGGCAAATCACTGTCCCAAAAGTTCCTCAACTGAGACATATGCAAAAGAAGTTCATCCCTTCCTAATCCCGAGACACTGCTCGTTGCTATCCATGGAGGAATGTATTTATAATTTTGTCTGAGAAACTCTTGAAATTCTCTTATGTTTTCATCCGGCGGTTTTGCTTTCCCCCCCTTCATCTTGTCACACTTCGTGAAGACGAAGGTCATTGGTATCTAAAAACAGACACACATGAAGTGATTTGAATGACATGAAAACACTATAGTAGTCGCAAAAACATTTTTAGGAATGCTGGGCTTGGCATGTTAGCCCATTGAGCCCTCGACTTCTAACTGCAGATATTGAAGCACATCAGGGGCAAACTTAGGCTCCATTGAGCTTCTTCTTCTTATTGCATTTTTTCTTGCATCTTTTTCCCATTTATATCAAGCCTTAAACTGTTAAACACACCTCTCCGATTTCTGTTCAAACTTGAATGGTATGTTAGGACCCCAGAAAATGAATGCAAAGAAATATCATTACTAAGAAAGTTTAATTTCTTATGCTTGATTTTACTGTGAGAAATGCAGGGGAAAATGAAATATGATTAAAAATACATATATTAAGATTTATTAGTCTTTTTATAATGGAAATAAATAAATGAATTGAGATTGAGCAAACATCTAAAATAAATGTAGAATTTGAGCCTATCTTCTATTTCCCCCGGCATTTTATTTCCATCCAAAATTTTCTCTATTTTCTTTCCCTTGTATTTTACATGTCCCACGAGGATTTAGAAGAGGCAAGAACAATCTAAGCCGTGACCAAATTGGTAAAAATATTAAGAAAACCTGTGAGATAAGTTTTCACTTGGAGTGCTGGATGAGGCAAATAGAAGTTGAGTGGGGCTCAAAGGGATCACCACGCCAAACTCATGTGTTTAAAACTTTAAATATAAGTTTGCAAGTGATCAAGGTACATAATGAAATAGAAGGTGATTATGCGAATCATACTTTATTTCGGCCAAGCCAATTAGCACAGTCAAGGTCAATCTTCTGAGTTGGTACACTTGCATCAATTAAAAGCAGAACCGAAACCAAAGTGTCTCGGTTTAAGAAGTATCCTTTAGTGAAAGAGGACCAATCCATTTTAGCAGATGCAGAGGCATTGGCAAAACTGTAGAATAAGGCCATATGCGATGCAAACCAATTAACTACCATAAAATAGTAGTGCTGGATAAATGGTGGAAATGGTAAACGGGGTTAAAAATCATACCCATAGCCAGGCAAATCCACAATATACCAACTTTTGTTCACTAAGAAGTGATTAATCAGCTGAGTTTTCCCTACACAATCCACATGACAGTGAAAATCTTCCACAACTCAATAGTTACTTCAATATGTTAATCTTACCAAAATATAATATACAAGAACTATCATTGGAACTCAGAAAATAGATTACAGTAGGGAAGTGCAAAAAAGCAAAGGAAAACTATTTCATGTTTGTCCTTTACCTTAGGAAATGCAATGAAAACTAAATTTTGATAAAAAACAAAATTACTTTTTGTTTTATATTCATAAATTTCTTAGTCTTTGTGTAATAATAATGCAAATATAAGAATTGTTTGTACAAATATCCAAAAGTGATTCGTTTGAGTTTGAAACAACATTTTATTTTTCTCCCTGTTTCTTTTCTTCCAACTTTCCCCTTTATTATCCCTCCCAAAAATCTTTCCTTAGCATTTTCCTGTTCTAAGTGCCAAACGGTCCAAAAAATCGAGGAAGAAAAGATAAAATACCCGGCTTCTTAGATGTAAGAGCAACCTCTTTCTTTCGAACCAGAGCATTAATGAGGGAGGATTTTCCCACATTTGACCGACCCAGCATGGCAAATTCAGGTCGATTGTCCTTAGGGCAGTCCTTCACCTTATTGCTACTCTTCACAAACTCCACACTGTTAATCTTGGAGTCTCCAGCATATGGTCCAATGACAATATTAGAGCGGGGCAGGATCATTTTGTCAGTAATAACTTCTGGGTTAACTCCAGGTGGCACAAATAAGTCATTTTGCGGAATGCTAGCGGTTTCAGACTGTGGTAAAGCTTTAGAGGTCTTGAAAGTGGCATGACGGAAAGATGAAGGGATTACGAAAGAGACTGAAGATGGAGGAGCTAGGGAATAAACTTTGGAGTGCAGAAGTGAGGTGTATTGAGGAGTACTAAAGACGGAAGACCTCAATTTCACTAGCATCTTCTGCTTCCTTTTAAAGTCGATCGGCTTCTTAAAATGGTGATATATACCTAAAAGCAATTGCACGATTCGCCTTAGATTTTAGAGAGTGACATTCTTTCACGTCACGTGCATAATCATCATGGCGTAGCCTAGGCGCCGGAGACGGAGAAGGAGAAGACGCGCCAGGCTGGGTCGACTCACCTGTAGTCTCCTAGGAGTCCCTGGCGTCGATTAGGCGTCGTTCAGTCGCGATGACAGATCCGATTCGTTCGCCAATCCGCGTACCCGTTTAGGACAGAACCTTGCACGCATCTAGGCTGCGGTCGTAGGTCACAGCCGAGTTCGCCGCCGCTTGTAGTAGCCGCCGTTGGTCTGTCCTCTAGTTTTAAGTTCGAAGTCTGCATTCGCTGAAATGCTTAATAATCACTAAAGTTATGGCAGATAACATTAGCTATTTTTCATATAACTTTATTTTTATTTTATTAATAAAATACTTTTAAATACGGAGTATAATTTTTTCATTAATCGACAGAATCGACTAATGTAATCATTTTAGTCAGAACTTCATAAATTTTAGTAGAATCAGTTGATGTAACTGATTTCACCGTTACCAAACGAAACATTGACTAGATTATTATAGTAAGTATAGTAATGGTTTTTTTTTTGTTTTTTTTTTTTTGAGAAAATATGAAATTAAAAAAATGTATATTTCGATAAAAATATGAAGTAAATTTTTTTTGGACTTTTATCAGTTAAGAAAATAAATTAAGTTCAAGTAAAGTTATGCTGATATTGTGGGGCCGAAGTGTTTAATTATTGTAAAAATTATTCGAGGAGGGCCATTTATTTGGGGGTTAATAACACTAATTTGGTGTTAATTTCTAAAAAAGTGAATCCAGATGGAATGGGTGACCGGAGGCTTATAATCTTGTGTTTGGTGATTTGTAAAAAAATTGTCAATTTTCTAGCAAACAGAATGAAGGGTTGTCTCAAATGTATTGCTTCTAAGTACTAATTAGGGCAATTCTATTATAGACAAATATAATAATCATACGAAAGGGACTCCGGACAAAAAATGAATTTTCAAAAAACTTCTATTTATTTTAGTCCCAATGTTCCTAATGGAGTGAAAAACATGTTCAGTGAGTTGTTGGGGGTCTCGAAGGGGGAGAGATGTAACAATTAATTGGTTTATCTACTCTTGTGGTGCGGAAAAATCTGAAATTTTAGGCTTATTGAGAGATGTAATTCTAAAAATGACTAGCTAAAATTATAATTTTTTATCTAAAGCGGGACGAGAAGTCCTAGTGAAAACGGTTATACATGCAATGTCCTCTTATACTATGAATGGTTTCCTTCTACCGATGGAGTTGCACAAGATTTTGAGGGGAGCTTCACGACTTCATAAAGGAAAAACAAAACATTCAAGTTAGTGAACGTGTCTCCGCCATTTTTTTAAAGAAACTCCTCAAGAAATATAATATAGCGATCCGATCATTTTCACTATTCCTTGCAAGACGAGAGACACCACATTTTCTAAGGTCTTATTGAATTTAGAAGCATCAATAAATGACATTCATGACTCCTTGTATAAATCCTTACAACTCGGTCACTATACCATACCGGTGTAGTGATTCAACTAGTAGAAGATGTGCTAGTAAAAGTTGAAATTTGGTTTTCCATGTTGATTTCTATGTCCTTGAAATGGAAGACAATAAAAAAATAACACACATCTTGTTGGGAAGACCTTTCTTAAAAATGGCCCAAATAAAAATTGATGTGTCTAGTTCCCCAATATCACATCTCATTTTAATCTATTATTTTAATAATTTAATTATGGAAGAAGTAAATAAGCAAAATAATATATGGAGCAATACAATTAGACTAATTGAGTATTGGGAAGGTCATTCGTGAATTGCCAAATAAAATTTTCTTCTATGTTCCAATAGAACATTTTCAAGTCAATAATCTTTTACTACTATTTTGCTTCCTAGTTGCAATTTTGATATCATTTATAAATTAGTTCATTCTATTTCATTGTTAGACTAGAATTTAAAAATTTTTAATTATTAATTTCAACTTCATAAGGGTGCTAAATTGTTAATTATAATAGACTTTTGTTACTAGTATGTTATATAGAGTCAGTACATCTATTTCTTTTTAGCTTATAGCTATTTTAATTTTAGTGTTAAGAAAATGATTTTCACTTTAATATTCATAAGTATAGTTTTGAAATGAAATATATTTGGACAGATTAAACAATGGTAACGAGATACTATAAAAGAAAAACGCCACCGTAAAATAGTATGTCTTCACTATAAATGTTTATGAGATTGATTTGAATATGTCCATTAATTAGAGAAATTGGTTTGATCAATGTGATGGTTGTTTGGAGTGTAATGTAAAAAAGGACAAATCATTTTATTTGTGTTTTACTCCCTCCGTCCCGCTATGATTGTCTCATTATACCTTTTCGGGAAGTCCCAGTAAGATTGTCTCATACCAAATTTGGTAAAGTTTGTGTGGCTCTAATTCATTCTTACTTTATTTTTGCTTTATCAATTTTATATCAACCACACAAATCCACTTTTCTTAATAATCATGTCACATTCTCTTTTCTCAATCTTAATGGGACTGAAGTAGTATTTCTTATGTCCAAAAAAGCTATATTTGATAGTTTGATACAATTAGAAATGAAGTTATGATATGGTGATTTCGTTTCCAACAAAAAAAGATCAACTTGTCGGGAATGTGAAAAGTTGAAACAACAAATAAAAGACACATCAGAAAGCGTGTTCTAGAACCTATAGATTTGCTTAATTTAAATGAAATGTATAAAAGAAATTAAAACTATACACACAAACTGTGATGCATTAGAGCAACCGCAACGCTCCCTTTCTAGTGTAGGTTTAGTGTGCCATGTCATTGCAATTAGACATCGTCTTTGTTTGTAACCCTCCAATGCTTGTATTCTTTTGTTGAAATGGTAAAAAAATGATACACTTTTAAGTTAAATGTTTGAGTATAGACATCCTTGTTCACTTGATGACTGGACAAAATTAAAAGAGAAATGGCCATGGACATCATTTTGCACGTCCTATAAAATAGCACAAACTGGAACCACTATGGCAGTTTTCTAGGAGAATGCATTTGCTGTTATTTTTTAATTCTTTTTTCCTTGAATATAATTTTCTTCACTTGCATGATTTTACGACTTTTTGCATTGAAACATTGTTTCGTATTTTAATGTTTAGTCTTTATAGATTGTATTATGTGGATTAGAAAGCCTTCTCTTTATTTGACAAGTGGTATATTTTATTTAGACCAGACTTGGTACCATTGAGGATGCTCTTAGAATCTAACGACGTGATTAAGATTTTTGACATCATTCACGTCCTATAAAAAACATTAGCATATAGAATATTTGAAACATTAGCAATGGAAATATATATTTGGTGATAATACAAACCATTTTTTTGGAGTAATTATGTGGACAAAAACACCTGAAAGCCAAAGTTTGTTACTTTAATTTGTCTTTTGAATGCTACCCATTTCCTTTAATCAAATGTAGTACTACGTATGTTCGTTTGATGGATTTGATCTGTGTTTAAAGTTGAGATTAGTGATAGACTGATACGTTTGATGGGGAGACTGGTCGGCCCGGATGATAATATATACTCCCTCCGTCCCTTAATTAAAGTCGCAGATGACAGTGTGACTTAAAACATACTCTGTATTAGGAATTTTATTGAGAGGTAAATGGACTGTGGAGTACACTATTTTAACATTGTTTAACACTGTTTGACACTGTTTTGTACTATTTTGATATAAATTTTTTTATCAAATAAAAAAATGTGACTTTGTTTTGAGACATTCAAAAAGAAAATTACAACTTTAATTTTGAGATATACCTCGGCACATTCATTTAGGGGAGAGCACGAGTCGGGTTCAAGTGGGTCGGGTCTGCGGACATCAAACCCGTTCGGATTTTTTAATATGATTCTTGAACCCAACCCGTGTAGTTTTGATATCGGTTTTTTGGATATTAGAAAGTCAGATAATTTCGGATATCGGTTCAGATATCGGTTAGTTCGGTTACAGTTAAAACACATTGAAATTGCATCATTAGTTCATTAATATGAATTGTCAAGGTACAAAATTACTAATACAAAAAAGAGTTGGTTCATCTTGAACCCAACTCACTGAGTTGTTTGCATATTTACAAACTAAATTACTTAGCAAACCAAACATAAACTAACTACGTATTTAAATTATAAACCAAGCACCAAAATAACTAAGCAATTAGACAGTACTTTGCAAAAAAATATAAAGTATTTCCATAGTTTACAAAGCATATCAAATAGTGCAAAACCAAGTCTCCTCAACTCCATCAGTTTCCGCTAGACCACTACTCCACCCTTAAGCTTCCACATTTTTATTCTTTAAGTTAATAAGTTCATAAGGATGAAGTCTGGAACAATGAGCAAGCTGATTTACACAAGAAGTTAAGCAGTAGGCTTAATTCTTCCCTACAGACTTAGAAGAACCAATTGACTCTTACTACTCCTATGAGTGTTAGAGTCACAAAGGTAGCTTCTTTTATATGCAACAAATAATAGAGGCTTCAATTGTTTACCTTTCATATACCTTTCTCATATGCATACTTAAACACAAGGTAGTGAGGCTCCATCATCATTCACATATGCATATTCAAACATTAGGCATACAGTTTTAAGAATTCAGAACAAGCTTCAGGCTCCATCATCATTCACATATGCATAATCATACATTAGGCATACAACTTTAAGAATTCAGAACAAGCCTCAGGCTCCATCATCATTCACATATGCATAATCATACATTAGACATACAACTTTAAGAATTCAGAACAAGCCTCAGGCTCCGTCATCATTCACATATGCATAATCATACATTAGGCAATAGGCATACAACTTTAAGAATTCAGAACAAGCCTCAGTCCATCATCATTTACACATGCATAATCATACATTAGCCATACAACTTTAAGAATTCAGAACAAGCCTCAGTTCATCATCATTCACATATGCATAATCATATATTAGGCATACAGCTTTAGGAATTCAGAAAGTGCCTCAGACTCCATCACCATTCACATATGCATAATCATACATTAGGCATACAGCTTTAAGAATTCAGAACAAGCCTCAAGCTCAATCATCATTCACATATGCATAATCATACATTAGGCAATAGGCATACAACTTTAAGAATTCAGAACAAGCCTCAGTCCATCATCATTTACATATGCATAATCATACATTAGGCATACAGCTTTAAGAATTCAGAACAAGCCTCAGTCCATGATCATTCACATATGCATAATCATATATTAGGCATATAGCTTTAGGAATTCAGAACAAG